CATAAAGAGAAACGGCTTTCGTCATTAGAAAATTTATGTCGCAATCGAGCTCAATTAGAGATCGGATTTTTATTTTTGTGAATCATAAATAAGATTTGAGATCAATTATGCAACATTATTCTAATAATAACAGAAAGAAAAACATGCTTTAGAAATATACATATCAGTTTTCAACAACGATTGTGCGAAAAATTATAATGATTAGAGTTCATAAGTTCTTCAAAGACGTGGGGTGAAAACCATAGTGATTAGAGTTAAAGGGTTGTTCATAAACATTAGTATGAAAACTTTTATTCAACAACGTATGCAGTGGCGTAGCTATGGGGGTGGTTTTCGGGTTTGGACCCCTCCCAGAGTAAAAATTTATTTTTAGATTATACGTTCAAAAGACTTATAAGTGGTGACTTTATATCAAATAAATACCAATAAAATTTATATTTTTCTGGTTTTGATGTTTGTGGAAGGATATTATATTACTATTGAAATCATCTGGATAGTATTATTATAAAGTCATTGAAAATAATCTACTAAATTATAAAACAAATTATTGATGCATTTAAAAAATATATTTATTATATATTATCGAAGATATGATTATGATTTGTAAGATAAACCCGGCCGAAGTCCCGTTAAAGGGGGTCTGGGGGCGAAGCCCCCAGGCTTTTATATGTATGGACCCCCTCTAAGGAAAATTCCTAGCTACGCTACTGAACGTATGTAAGAAAAGAGATTTATATATTTCAGCAGTTTTTTTTTTAAAGACTTGAGTGTCAAAGAGTACATGAGGAAATAAATACACAATGATAATTTTGTTAAAAGATAGGTTTTGATATATATTTTGGAATAGGATTTTTAGATATAAATTTAGTATAGACATGGCTGAAAAGAAGATGAGGATCAATAGCTAAAGGATGAGTACAAGTAAATTTTTCAATGAAAATATGGAGCTAGGCTTCATTAAGGGGAGAGGGGTGATAGAATTTGATATATTTTTATAATTTATTATATATATTTTTGTTACGTATTATAAATGTAAGATTTAGTATAATTTACGCCATTTATTAAAGGCAGAATTAGTTTAGAGGAGATAAATGTAGACATTAGGATAAAGTTGGTATATTTATAAATTTTATTAGTATATTTGAATTAGATAGTTTATTTTGGAGAATAAATATAAAAAATTAGATGTGATTACCTGAAACCTTAAGATAAAGTCGATATCTCAGCAAAGGCAGACTGTCGTAGAAGACCCGGAAGTCTAAAAGATAGATACGATTACAAGAATTAGAGGCAACAACCAATCGATTACAAGAGAAAGTAGAAAACAAGCGGACGTTATGCTGCAATCGTTAATCGCTGCAAATAATAGCCAATTATTACCGAGACTTTAGTCTAAGATACGGAAATCGACAATCATAGGAACAAGAATTCGTGAAAACCATCGGTTATCGCAGACCAATCAATTGTTTATCGAGATAAAGAGCTAATCGTGGATTACAAGAGAATGATAGAAAACAAGCTACGATAAATTGTAAAAAAAATTAAAACAGACTAGAAAAAACAAAAGTGGAAAAAGAAACTGGATGTCATCGATAATCGTTCATCAAGCGTGGATCGTGGAAAACAGGCGTTTATCAAGTTCGTCAATCGTCTACAGAGATAAAAAGCTGATCGTTTCCCAGGGTGACAAGCGACAGAAAATTCAAAAATTTCAAGCGATGATCGGATACAAACGGTCGTTCGAAACCAAGAATACTAGACAAGAGGCAGCCTTCGTTAGAACTTAGAAGACAGCAAAAATTAAGAAGAATAGATATGGTGTATATACGAGGTCAGTAAAGTCGAAATCGAAAGAAGATTGATTATTCGCAGAATGTTGGGTCTAATTTGTGGGGAGGTGTTGTAATATGTAAATTCGTTAAATTTGTACTTTATATTTAATTTGCATAAAGAGTTCTTTTGGATTTATTATTATAACGCGTGATAAAAATATTATATTTGAATAGTGAGAACTGAAAATAATTTAAGTTATGAATATTATTTATAAAGAAGAAAAAAGTATAAAAACTCCAATTTTTACCATTTAAATATATCTTTGATAATTATTAACCTTTTTGTATTTTATTTTTTATTTTTATTAATCTTTTTTATTATTTTTACTTTTATAATTTTGTTAATTTGATAATGTTATAATTTTGAATAAAGGATTAAATTGATTTCATGATTTCGTGATTTCTAATTATTATTAATTTCTTTTTTATATATATATTTCTTTTTATATTTAGGTTTTGATTCACAATGACAAAAACTCCTCATTGTGACAAATTTAATAGATGATTTATCGTTCATTCGAAGTAAAGTTATAAATGAAATTGTGATAATTGATATTTTATGTTATTATATTATTATTATTATTATGTAAAGATGTTTCATATATTTAGTTACTATAGTAATATTATATTTTTATTGACAAGAAAGGATTTGTAAAAAGAAAAGAAATAAACTCTGAACAAGGTTTGTAAAAAAAGGAAAATAAAAACGTGGAACCGATCTATCTACCGATCCTACAACCCCTTGGTAGCCTTAAATTTGTTAGAAACTATCAATGATAGCAATCTAAAAGAGATCATTAAATTAATAAAAAATCATTGGCATATTGATAATATTAATAATTATTCGTAAAGTTTAAAAATATTCATCTTAATTAAAGATAATATTTCTTTCGAAGAAGGATTATTATTTTATAATAATAGAATCATTATTCCTGATAATCTAAAAAAAGAGGTTTTAAATATTATCCATCAAGGACATCCTGGGATAGTTAGTGGGGATGAAATCTCTATGCAGATACTATGTCTTCTGGACGAATCTTGATCGTGATGTTGGGGAGTTCGTCAAAAGCTGCAAGAGTTGGCAGGAAGGAAGACCGGGAGCCAGAGAAATACCGTTATACAACAGGAACATTCCTATCCGACCTTGGGAACGAATACACTTTGATTTGACAGGCCCGTATCTTTAAAGTATTGGTTAATTTGCATAGACGCTTTCACGGGTTGAAGTTGCAATTTTAACACATATTAATTCGACGAGTGTAATAATTAATCTGCTTAATTATTTTCCTAGATTTGGTTTCCTCGTTACATTGTTTCAGATAACGGTATTCAGTTTACTGGATCTGAATTCAAAACATTCTTTTTAAAAACAATATAAAACATTTTAGATCTATTCCCAAATCGAATGGTTTGGCTGAGCGTTATATACGTACGATAAAGACTAGTTTCTATGCTGGAAGGAGAGGTGGGACTCCAAACCAGTTAAATTTAGCTAATGTTTTAATTACTCAATACTCCAAATGCAACTACAGGTAGGTCCCCTGCCGAAATGATGTTTGGATGCCGCTCAGGACGACGTTAGATCAATGGAAATTTTCTACGAGAGAAAGGACTGAAAACATGGAAACAAAAATATTATGAAGATAGGAACGTTGAGCCCCGTAAATTTGAAGAGAAGCAAAAGGTTTGGGTAGAAAACGAAAGGACTGCGGGATGGTATGAAGGGACAGTGGTTCAACTGAAAAGTGCGAAATTGTATGATGTTGAGTCTAAGGGCATTGTAAAGAACAAGCATGCCTACCAACTGAGGGACGCACATGTGCAAGCTAAGGAAATACCCATAACAATGACTAAGGATTTGGACATTGCAGAACATAATGGGAATACAACTATAGAAAAAGAGTTTCGAAACCCCTATTACGTTATTATGATGAATACAATTTATAGTGGGGAGAAATGTAATGTATTCATATAAATTGATTTTGTTAATTTGCTCCATTATTCGGCCCCAATTGCAAGGATCCATTGGGCTAAATATAATTAAAACCCATAATAAAAATAATTATATATTAAATTTCAACATTTATTTCATAAAGTAACAAATTTAAAAGCAACGTATAATCATAAATAAGAACGATATAAAGTAAAAGCAGAAAAAAAAATAAAAAGTATAAATTTAAAAAAGTGATTTATATTCATAATAACCCTATCGCGAAGAAAATTTTGTCTAATTTACATAATCAAATTTATGGAAAAATATCTCCTGATCTTCTTGGTATAATAGCCATTCGACAATTTTTCGAATATAATAACATTCATATTTATTAATATCTAGATTTAATAAACTACACTAATCTGAGTTATACTCACCTTAATTATGCAAATTCAAAATCTTCAACGATAACACAACAGCAGCATATTTATTTCTACTGAGAATGTGAGAAATAAATGTAAATTGAATATATATGCTATAAGAGATAAAGATTTTATTATAGATTTAAATTAATAATGATAAAGCAGTAATATTTTTGAAAAATATTTTAGCAAGTTCTGAATTTTTTGGCTTTATCACTCTTTTACTACTTACATGATCTCCCTTAATTGTCAATAAGATAACGGTTAAACTAATAGTATTTATTTTTCAAATCCAATATTAAATAATAACATAATAACAATTACATATTTAGAATTTTACGTTCTATATTTATATAATAATAAATAATATATCACTATATTACAAGAGGTAATTCAAGAAAACATAATAAAAATATTAAAAAAAATATATAGATGTTTCTAGTAAGACATTCTTATATAAAGAACAGAGGGGTAAAACGCTTGTCAAGATTTTTTAATTTATCTAAGAGATTTTCATTGTCTATTAATTAGCTGTTAGATTTATTTTTTATTAAATATTTAAAATAGAACTATATATATACTATATATAAATATAATGTATTCTTTTTATACTTATTTAAAATACCCGTTACATAATTAATTTTATATTTCAGCTTAATAAATTCCTTTATTTTTTACAATATTTTAACTATCTATTTGATTATTTAATATTAAATAGATTTTAAATATTTGAAAGTAATTAAATTTTTTTATCACTACGCAAAATATCGTGTTGTCATTTTATTGGATAAATTTAGCCAATAATATTACTCCATGCAATTAATACAATAATTTATATAGAAAAATTTCGAAGTATCATTCAAGATTTATCATTCTAATATTTAAAAAGCATGATTTCCGTTAAGCTTTCTTTAATTTTTTCTCTCTTCATTTATATAAATGCGGAAACCTATTTCAGTGATACATTTCCAGGTATTGTAAATTGTATCATTTTCTATATATATTTATATTCAAACAGGAGAATCATTAGGATGGAAACCTACAAAAAAGACCGACAAGGAATATGGTAAAATGGTAATGTCCGCCGGAAAATATTTTGGAAAAGATCACAAAGATGAAGCAATAGGTAGATAATTTATATATGATCGATTAATATCTTATTTAGGACTGCAAACTTCTAATGATGCCAGATTCTACGCCTATTCTACCAATTTCCCTAAATTTTCAAACGAAGATAAATCATTAATAATACAATATCAAGTTAAACACGAGCAAAATATAGATTGTGGTGGTGGTTATATTAAATTAATGCCATCTACAGTGGACCCTGAATCTTTTGATGGCACATCTGAATATAATATCATGTTTGGTAAGCATCTATATTGTTACGTTTTAATTATCAAAATTTAGGTCCTGATATTTGTGGTGCAACCAAAAAAGTTCATGTTATATTTAGTCACTATGATGATAAAGAGAAAAAATTAATAAATCACCTTACAAATAAGGATATTAAATGTGAAGTAAATATTTATTATCTATTAATATCAGAATAATTTTAATATAAAGGATGATGAATTGTCTCATGTTTACACTCTAATTGTTAAACCTGACAATACTTACATTGTTAAAATTGATGGGAAAGAGGTAAGTTCTGGTTCTATAGAAGATGATTTTGGAATATTGCCACCAAAGACAATTAATGATCCTACTTCTATAAAGCCAGATAATTGGGTGGATAAAAAAGAAATGGATGACCCTACTGACATGAAACCTGAAAACTGGGAGAAGCCTGAAAAAATACCTGATCCCAAAGGAATAAAGCCAGACACCTGGGATGATGAAATGGATGGTGAATGGGAAGCTCCTATGATTGATAATCCTGAATATAAAGTATTATTGTAATTATGCCTTGTAATGTTACCTATTATTTTATAATTCTGAGGTGTCAAAGCTTGGCTATATTGTAAATAAATTATTTATATAAACATTAATAAACTATTTTATTATTATGTTTATGAATATTTACATTAATTAAGGGAGAATGGAAGCCTAAACAAATTCCAAATCCAGATTATAAAGGACCTTGGACACCTAAAATAATTCCTAATCCTGAATACAAAAGTAATCCATTACTTTATCGTTATAGTGATATTGGCGCAATTGGCTTAGATTTATGGCAGGTTTGCTGAATAAAAATATTGCCATTATTTCAAATTAAGGCAAATATTTATAAGTTTTTCCTTTACATAGGTCAAATCTGGAACCATCTTTGATAATTTTATTATAACCGATGATGAAAAAGAAGCTGAAGATTTTATGAAAAAATGGGAAGCCATCAAAGTAAAATTAATAATTAATGTTCTCTAAGAGATACAACTTTGTAATCATTTTTAGGATGGTGAAAAGAAAGCTAAGGAAGAACTTGATAAGGAAAAGGCTGACAAAGAAGCAAGCAAGAAGCCTGAAACAGATGATAAAGATAACATGGAAGAAGAAGATGATGAGACAGAGGACAAGGATGCAGAAGATAAAAGTGAAGAGCCAGAAGAAGGACCTCATGATGAATTGTAGATTTGAAAAAATTTTGTTAACAAATTGGGTTGTTACTTTTTCAAAATTTTTCTATTTGGGTTGTGACTTAATTTATATATGAGACCTGAACGCTTTTATAATTATGTTATTATATGATATTAATATATTTTTATAAAGTTTATAGCAATGTGATTCTGATAAATTTGTGTACAGATGATTTTATATTACTATTATAAATATTTCCAATTTTATAGTATATTATTTGTACTTAATATAATGTCTCCAAATTTTTCTATTCAATTAATTATGATATATTGTAAAATCTTGGATTTTGTATATTTGAACACAATATTTTTTTATATAAAAGGTGATGGATATAATAAATATAACAAAAAATAATATTGTTTAAATCTCACAAGATTTAACATGGTATGCCCTTTTTTGTATTTGAGAATTAAGAGTATTTAATAAAGGATGTAGATCTAGGCTACAAATAATGAACCCAAAATTTAGGCCTGTTATCTTTTACTATCAAAATCCATACATTTGATTAGTAATTATAATGGCGATTTTTGGGGTGGATCTAAAAAGGGCAGTATTTGTAAAATTTTGTGTACTAATAATTTTATTGTAAAGAAATAATAGATTTGGGCTATTTTTAAAATTAATATTCAGTTAATTAAAAATTTGATTTAGAATCATGTTTACCAGGAATTTTCTACCAGGGGATAATCTTTTTAATATTGAAATGATATTTTCTGAAGCATTAAAAATTTATTAGAACTAATATAAAATCTTTAGAACTAATCATAAATTTATTAGAATTAATCATAAAACTTATTGGACAATCATATATAAATAGATAATTTCGAACATAAATAGTAAAATATTGGAAACAAAATATTTAAGAGCATATGTATTGTTAAAAGATATAGCTATTAATATTAAAAGTCTGCAATGGGCGGGTTTTTAGCCCACAAGTCTGCCCGCCAATATTTTTAAAAAATTTTGACCCCCACCCCCATAGTTTTAAAAAAAATACCCGCCAGTCCATGAGTCTAAAATTCTTTACCCGCCCGCCCTTTAGTCTAAAATTTTTTACCCGTCCACTCATTATATAATAAAAATTAACCCATGCCACCCATAAAATTTAAAAGCTTATTCTTTCATTTTTTTAAAAATCTAATTTAAAATAATGATTCAGTTTCAGCGCTACAACCCCTACAAAAAAGTTTTATAATTTAGGAAATTGCTATATTACAAAGAAAATTCAATTTATATTACGGATGAGGAATTTATTTGATTTAATAAAATATTTATATAAAAAATTTTATTGATATTATTTCTAATTATAATGAAAAAATAATAATGAATCTATATTTTCTAGCACGCATGTTCCTTGTTATATAAACCTTAGAGCAATGTTTCCGTTCAGAAGAAGCATTGGTTAATCTTGATAGCTTCGATAAATCTTTTTTTGTTGTTTCCACCAAAGTAGGATATCCGTTAAAAACTCGCTACTTTAAGATTTAAATATTTTGTTATGTCATTAGGTAAAATGCTCTCCTCCATAACAGCCACATTTTCCCATCTGTTATTTAATTTTGACGTGCATACTATCTATATCAAACATTGCATTTATAATTTAAAACATTCAATTGAATTCTCTTTGCTTTTGGAGAAACGGGTAAATCAGATTTTTATCCAAGTTGATGTTATACACTTCCATGCAAATTGTTTTCGATATCAACACTTCCTTATTAAAATTATTGAAATTTCACGGGACATTTTTTTTTATATTTACATAAATTAATAAATAAAAGTTGTAAATTTTTTAACCCGCCCACCCTTCCTCCCATAGTTTGATTTTCTTAACTCACCCCCGCCTGCCCGTTTTTCAAAAGATTTAACCCGCTAACCTGGCCTCCCATTTAGATGGGCAGGCGGGCTAAAACCCGCCCAATGTAGACCTCTTGTGTAAATTACAGTGATATAATCTTCTTTGCGATTGCGCCAATTTCTCCATGATTTTTTGTCAGGGATTTGATCTAGATATATATTAAGTTAAACTGTCCATTCAATCAATTTTAAGATGCCGTACTTTTAAGATAGGTATTTATTCCTTGTAATGAAGAAAAGGTCCTCTCAATTTGTACTTGTACTAATCCCAAAATATAATATAAGTGCAATGTAATTGGAAAAAATTAAAATATATTTTAAAGTATACAATGCTTTTATTTCATTTCTTGGAGGATTATATACTAAAATTAATCTTTCAAACCAAAATTTAAATTCTGAAATTAATTGGCCTTCAGATGCATTTATATCCTGAATAAAATATAACTAAATATTTAATTATTTCAATATATAATTTAATAGATCTTCAAACAGATGGAATTATATTAGTATTTGTAAATTGGATAGAGCCAAATGTATCAATGGAATAAAAACGGTTATTTATAATCATTAATTGAACACTTTAATGTTGGAATGATTCTTTGACTATGTGATAGTCAAAGCTTGCGAATCTAAAAATCATATAATTGCGCTTTCGCCTCAACAATCACATAAATCTCGTGAAATTCTTGATTGAAATTATTTTTTAGTTTCCTAAGTTGTAATAGAATAATATTCTTATTTCTCAAAACTTAGCCAAATACATTTTTTGAAAAATTGAATATAATGTATCTTTTTCACATAAATATTTGGTTCATCTTATTTTGATATTTCCCTAATGTTACGCAAAATAGGCTCTTTAGATCCAAAAACGCTGTATCAGGATATCTTCGGTATGCTTTTTGCAGTTTTTTCCTTCTTGTAGGACAAGAAGTCTCAGAATTTATAGTCAATAAATTGTGTCTATTAGGATATCTGAATATTTCATACACTCTAGAAATTTACCTAATTTTAGTTATTAGTAAAGATAAATTAAAAGAATTTGGTTGATAAATGTTTTATATCCATCAATGTTTACGTTTAAATATAGGAAAATAATTAAATTATCATGAGATAAAATATTAATATAGAAGGAAAAATATTTAAATTTAATTTAATTTTTTGCTAATATAAAATAGAATATAACTTATAAGAAATAGATTACTTTGCAATATGCAAATCATAAAAGCCTATTACAAGGAATAAAATTTTTAATTTTTTGTTATAAAATAGTATATAACTTATATGAAATAGATTACTTTGCAATTCATAAATCATGAAAACCTTATAAATTTTTCCAAAAAATTTTGCTACGGGGGTGGGAATCCCCTCTCTCCTGGCTGCGCGCCTGTGTTTAGCTAGTGGGGTATAAGCTCTATAATTTAAAAAAAAAATATAAAATCATGTTTAGCTCTTCCTTCGAGAGAATTCATAAAATTTGAATATTTAAAAAAAGAATAAAATTTATGTTAATGTCACTAATTGCATTTTTGCAAAAGAAAAATAGTAACTAGTTATTTTTTTTGGAATGTAACTTACAAAAGTAACTATACTTTTTTAAAATATTTATATATGCATATATCTTAAATAATATATTCAAATAATTATTTTATGTTATATTAAATTAAATTTAAGTTAATTTTGATCTCCTTTATATTTGGTCCTTTTTTAATATTTAATTTAATATTGAATCGATACTTGATCAAACCAATGAATCAGACAGATACAGAATACTCACAACATTTAATAATTCTACTAAGTTTTAGTTAGATGTATATGTAACAAATTTTATAGAATTATTAATTAAACTAACTTTTTATTATTTAATATAAATTAAATATATCTTTTTAGAGAACACATAACATAACCAATCCTAGAAAATAAAAAAAACTATAGATAGAGATAATAAGATAAATAATTCACAACATCAAATAAATTAAAACAAACTAAAATTAACTGCCTTTTGTATTTATATTAGAGGTCTGCATTGGGTGGGGTTTCGGCCTGCCCGCCCATGCTCGCCCATCTAAGTGGGAAGGTGGGTGGGCAAGTTAAAAAATTAAACAATGGGCGGGCAGGTTAAAAAATTTAAATCATTTAAGTAAATATTAATAAAAAATTGTTCCTATGAAATTTTTTGGATATTAAAAAAAAATGTCCATTTTTGGTATCATAAAAACCGTTTTCTTAAAATAAATTAACTTTTTTATACATTTAAAACTACTTTGGTGGAAACGACAAGAAAGAGATTTGCCAAAGCTATCAAGATTGGCAAGAAATATATTGGCAATTCCTACAACCAGTGCTTCTTCTGAACGAGGATTTAGCATTGCTGGAAGGTTTTTAGAACCAAGAAGAACGTGTTTGTATCCAGGAAATGTCGATTCATTATTATTTCTGCATTATTAATTACTTATTATATCAATTTTATAATTATATTATTTTCATAAATATTTTATTTGATCAAATAAATTATCCATAATTAAAATTGAATATTTTTTTTATGCTAAATATAATAATTTCCTAAAAACTTTTTGTAGAGGTGTAATGCTGAAATATTTTTTTACTAGATGCTTAAAAAATTGAAAGAATGGGCACAATTAAATTTTATAATAGCAGGCTTGGGTTAAAAACTTTAAAATTTTTAGAATAATGGGTGGGCGGGCGGATAAATAATTTTAAATTATGGCGGGGTATATTTTTTTTGAAAACTATGAGCGGGCTGGGTAGGCGGGCTAAATTTTTTAAAACATTGTGTGGGCGGGCTTATGGTCCAAGCAGACCTCTAAGTTACATGATTGTAAAATAATATTTAAATGTTTACATTTTACTGTGTGAAGTGTTAATTTTACATTATATTATATTCAATTGATTTTAAAAGTTTATATTTTTCTGTTTAAGGCGTTAAATTCATATCATGATATTATTATGTTCAATTGATTTAAAAATATTTATTTGATTGTCTGATGATATATTAAGATATACAAAAATCGATGTTATTAAATATTAACAAATTCCTTTTAAAAAATAAAATTCTCATTCAACTAGTTTTATTCTTACATATCCAGGGATTCGAACCGAACCCTAACCCGGATAAAAAAAAACCCTGGTTTTTGAAAAAATATTCTGAACCTGAACTTTATTATAAAATTTTCACAACCTCGAACCCGGGGTTTATTTGAACAAGGGTTCAACCGGGTTCAGTGTATTACTTAAAATTAGTGTTGTTAAACGGCTCATTTTGAGCCGATTTTTAAAAACGGTTAACTCAATATTTCATTAGGGAAAATGTTATACAAGTCTTAACATTTTGCTCATAGGTGGCACATAGGTTTGAATATCACTAACGAAATCTCGAGGCTTAGACAATATTTTTCTTACTAAAATATTGAGTTAGCCGTTTTTAGAAATTGGCTTAAAGAGCCGTTTAACAACACTACTTAAAATCATATGTTAAGATATTTGTATAATTGTA